TACACATATACGCACTATCCTCCATCTATCTCCATCAATAAAGTGTAATGAATAAGAAATGCCCCCTCCCCTTTTACTATCAGACAGAGTATTGACCAGGAAGAGCTAAGGTCATGCTCTTTCTCTGTTTATCGTCTGCTTTTTGAGCTCAAAGATCTCATACTCTGTTGTACATAAAAACAACTGAATAAGAGATAATGGTGAAGATAGGATGAGGAATTATAAAATCAAAAGAACCAATTGTTCCCATTGCTGAGCAAAGGCTCCATCAACAAAATGCATTCAAAGATTTCTTTTCACTGTGGTTCACTTTATGTTTGAAGAGCTATTGTGGTTAATCTTTGCTCTCTTTGTGGACTGTTTCCTTCCTGAAAGCTTGTGCTGATTTCTGTCAACATGCTCTTATTGCAGACTCCCATGGCAACAGTATCTGATTGAGCTATGTATCTGAATGAAGTTTTCCTTGACACATGTATGTATCATAAACAAAGCATGACAGCTGTCACTACAGCTCATGTCAGTGCATGGCTGAGGTCTTTTCCCTACCATGTGCTATTGGCCAGAGCTCTTCATCGTTTTATTGACGAATGTGACCACAGGGTTTGTTTCTGTCATTTATGGTCTAGGACCAAATTTTAGTTAAGATGAACGGATTTGTTTTGAGTACTGATGCATTTTTTTCTTTTAGAGAAACTTAATGCAGCTTAGAGTTTAATTTTAGAACATGTATTGATCTGCAGAGCATGACATTGTGGTTTTATACTTGAAAGTAGCACAAGTACAGTGTATGACCTGTCTGATAAATACCATTGCCATATATGAAAATGCTGAATGCTATGGAGCAATCAGAATGAAGTATTCCAAATAGCCATGGGTGAGTCTTCGCAGGCTTCAGAGGAAGCTCTGATTGCCTCTGTGGCTTCTTCACAAAACTATTATGGCAGCACATTCTCAGGTTTCCAATGAAAGTGCAACACATGCGGCTTGTAGTTAATTGCTCATTTGAATCTATAAAAGAAGCCAATTATGGTTATGTGTGTTGTAAATCTGATTAACCTTTCTACGCTGCTCCCCTAATGCCATGGAGACCACAAAGGTCTAATGCTTGTTCAACAAGCGTGCGTGATTATAACACAAGTAAAGCTAACCAGTGCTGATGTATCTAAAATAAACATCAGCATATGAGCTGCTGAAGAACTGAGATGGATTTTTTGGTAGCTGGACAGTTATGGACAGGCCTTAATGGACTTAAATCTTTAAAATCTTTAATAATATAATTATCATTTTAATAATTATATTATCACTTTATAACTATATATTGTATTATTATTTATGTATAATATGTATTTTATCTATTAATTATACATAATAGATGTAAACAGCTAAACAGAGCTGCAAATTCTGAACTTTTATTGGACATATTTAAATTAAGAAGGAAAAAACAGGTGCAAAAGATGTGAACTTTTTGAATTCAAATTGCAATACAAATTAGTGTTGTTATTTAAAACGAAAAACTTAAACAAAGCTGAAATTAAATAAAATATAAATGTTAGATGGAAAACTTAAACTTATTTCATTTAGTTGACAACATTTCAAATTTTTTAGAATGAAGTGCTAAAATTGCTAAAATTACTAAAAACTAAAATTTTAATAAAAATAAATTAAATTAAATAATAAAAATGACAAAAGCACAACACAATTATTAAAAATAAAAATGAAAACTGAAAACATTAAAAATAAAGTCTATTCAAAATATTAATAAATACTATAATATGAATAATACTAACCCTGTTATTCCATATTAACCTGATTATGGTTAATAACTTAATAAAGGGCTTGTTACCACTGTTTTGTATAATTTATCTGGCTTCTTTGAACACAATTTAACAATATTCTTCTTTGAATGTGACAGCTAGAATGCTCTAATTTCAACATTTCACTTGGACATTGTAATTTTTGATGCAGCATGCGAAGCCTGATCCTGCTCCATCTCCTGCCAGCATTAAATGATCTCAAGGGAAATTCATAAAACTCAAAAATCTGCCCTGCCCATAACTGTGGCAACCTGAACATTGGTCTGTAAATCAACACACATTCCCGATGCATGTGCACGCTAAAAGTAATTATATTATTGTCTTAAGTTGCTCCCACAAGACATGACTTTTCAGTGCCTGGGTGAAGTCTGAGTTGCCTCCTTTGCAACTCTGATGTTGCTCCTGTGCTGAAGAGGTGACGCGGTGAATAATGAATCTGAATTATCACGACAAGCGAGATTAATTGCCATAAGCTGTGATTAGCCCTCCCTGCCAAGCTGATCTTTTATGCCATATATACATACTTCATCATTAAACACACTCAGTAATCATGTTTCTCCTCTGCCACCGCATTACATATCTCAGCCGTAATCCATATGCAGATGACATTAGGGCGGATTGTTATTTAATTGGCCCCTTGAAGGTCTGTCAGCACGTCTTTATCGGGGAGCCCTTGTCTTTTAACTATACCTCAAGCGACCCAGCCATCCTCTCAGATTAATCTGGCCAACAGAAGTGCTCCGGCTGTCATTGGGTGGATGAACGCTAATGAGAGCGAGAAAGATGAGTCCTTAGTGAGATCGGGTTTTGGCTCATTGCTCAGCGAAATGTTTGGCCAGCTCTCTGATCATATTTGTCTTTCCCAGTCTATGCGATAAAGCTGTAAGCTGGAATGTGGATCAGTGTTGCAATGTGAAAATGGCCCCCATGGGTGGAGACCATATACTTACATGCCTACACTTTTAAACCTATATTTCAGTTTGAAGGTTGAGTAGTTGCCTTATGAAAGCCATTTACTTGATAATACTAGGCATGTGTCCCAAATTGTGGAATCACAGCTTCTGTGAGGAAACTTTCTTTAATGCATGATTTCCATTACACGAGAGTAGATGTTAAAACTTCACGCTGATTTGTACTCGGCTTTCGCCAAGATAAGCAAGACTAAGACGTAGCTTTACAGTAAACTATGCTTCTCCATCCATTTACGCTTCTTTCCATATGGTGGTGTGACTCCCCTTCTGTCCGGCGTTAACGGCTGCAGTGTACTTGGCGCGTCAGCACACACGACGGCTGCAACTACAGTGTGGTCTCCCTAGTGGACCAGCACGACAACCGTCTGGATTGAGCCGAGTAGGGGACATCTCTAGGGTCTTCAAGTGGGCACCTTCCGTCCTCAGTGTTTCGTCGACTAGCCCACGACACCTCAAGAGGGCTCGACTGTGACTCTGGCGTCCCAGAGTCACCCCCCTCCGTCCCCCACTCAACTCAGCCCAGCTTACTGACCTCTACATCCCTCCTGCTGCTGAGACCTAACCACAATCTCACAACCCAACCATACGCACCAACCCGTTTGAGTAAGGCTGTCGAGCCCCACTGGTGCGTTAATATATATCTCAATAAGATTAAAATAAGTTCAGCAGACAAATAACATTTCAGAGATGTAAAAACAACTGTTGCAGACAAAATGTGTTAAAACAGTCCATGTTCTCTATTTAAATATAATTACTAAAGTGGTGTAAATACAGAAAATCTCATACAAAATTACATATAGGCCTATAATACACATACCATATTTTGTTTGTTTACCAACAACGATCAAACTCTGTAAATCACTATGGAGCACACCTCATTTTAAAACGGTAATTGTTTTGGTTTTGATGCCAGTCAAGATGTGTCAATCCAGAGGGTATTTTCCCCCCAAAACAGGAATGTCTGAAAGCCACCTTCTCTGTCAGTGAGGGATAATTTTGAATGATTGTCTGTTCATTTGTTTTTAGTTTTCAGTTAACAAGTGTGGTGGCAAACACAATTCTATCACTGAATAAGAGACAAACATTTCCAATGGTCTTGATGAGGTTTATTTTCTTGCAAGAAAAGGCTCAGTCATATGTCACACAGAGTGGCTGTAGAGTGTGACTGTGATGGGAGGGCATCCTTCCTCCTCTATAGTCTTGCCTCCCAGAATGTTATCTTTCTAGGCCAATGATGGTTTTTTTAACCATACGTGGAACATTCTTAGATTTGTATGTCATATTTTATCCTTGAGTGGAGGCCCTCCTGTCACGTATGTACAAACACTCTTTACCATTCCAATACAATTCCATATTAGAATAAGGTTTATGTGTGCTCTTTTACTGCCATGATGGTCACACACATCTTAAGGATAACATTTCTTCCACACAAGTTAGCTCATTATTAAGAGATGATTGCCAAGTGATGTAGTGGTTTGTTGAAATCGCGCCCCCTGCCGGTGGAACGATGTCTAAAAAAACATTTAATGTGGTACGTTAAACCTTGTAACTAAAATGGATGCAAGAGCTCTCTAGAACAACTATGGTTTTATATATGTTTAGGTATTGCTGAAAAAACCCGATTAATAATTAATCAAATGAGAGAAACATAAGGGATCGGATGGCTGGGTTAACATGAGTTTGTGTTGTTGGGGGAGGGAGGAGGTAGTTTCTCTACCCTCGTTGTCATAGCAACAATAAAGGCGGAGCGATATTTTAACATAGGGGTTGGATTGTTTGTTAGTTGAAGTCACGTGACGTGCCGCTGAGGAATGGGGGCACTTCCTGTTTTACTCTACTGAGACTTGAGCTTGAGCCGCTGTTGTCAGTTTCAACAAAATGGCTGCTGGAGCGCCACAAACGAAAATCCAGTGAACGCTTCACGTCAGTGCAGTATCATTTTAAATGGATGCATTGGAATTTCCCTACCTTCTGAGCATCGGGACATTTACTCGTGTGGACTCGTTTACATACGCATTAACGAACTGAAGGCATGCTGAAATATTTCCCTTTACGCACTTTATATACACCCCCAAAAATACAAAAGCTCAAACTGCCAGTGTGCGCGCGTCTGTGTGGGTGCGCGCGTGTGTAGCTGCTCCTAAAATCGTCGTAATGTTAAAGCTGTCTTGCTGACATGCAAAATGGTCTTTTCACTGTTTGCACTGGCATTTTTTCCCCGGATCTGGATAAATTCCCCTGCATTTTGAGAGGTGAATTCCTCAACTGGAAAGCCAGGCTTGCCATTGCAGCTCACTGCAGGAGCGACTGTCCTGACTGCTACTGAATAATATCTGATCTGTGTCAGTACGGGTATCGACAACAGCCTCCTTCGCCATGCAGCTCATGCATCACATCTGAACAGCAGACCGCAGTTGCTCCGTCTGCAAAATAAAGGTAAGACGAGACATTTTTAAAACGGTCATAATATTTAGGTGGGCGGGGTGTGATAGTTTTTGGTATACAGTGATATTGCGTCATTTTAGGAATTTCTTTTGAGCTGTTTTGTTTCTGACAGACAGACAGTGACATTGAGAGGGACGCAGAATTAGTGAAATCACTAAAACCAGGCATACTGTGTTCAAACTGTGTCTTTTCTGTTTTGATGGTTATAAATAGCTTTCGTGTGCAAATGTTTACTCCCCCGAACATCAACATTGGCCCATTTTCTAAACAGATGCGAGATAAGCCTTAAATTTCTTATCGGATTCCAGTCGTTTTTTTAGATACATACGCGCGCGTAATGTCTGGCAATATGATCAATTTTGTGATTTGCCCGTTATGTGTCCAGGATTTGCGGGTCCTGTCACGTCGTTTTGATGATAAAATGTTATCTACTAAGCTAAGGCTTTTTATCTATTTATTTTTTACATTATATTGTTATGGAGAATTACAGCTAGTTTACAGTTACTGGTACTGTTACTTTCTGCAATGACGTTAACCCTGGACGATGAACGACAGAGAAAGAACAGCTGTGGTGTTTATATTTTCATGGGGTTTGGATTAGAAATATCTCACGAAGAAACTATTACTATTATCTCTAGTCGTATTCGGATTCCCCAAGTTTCTTGAAGCTTCTAAAGTGTTTGGCGTTTCTGTTTTTTTTTTCTCGAAATCATGTTTACCAATTGAGAGTAAACTTGTGTACAAAAATTGGTGATAGGCTAGTTTCCGTCAAAATGTCAGTTATTGCGTTATTGTTACTACTTTGAAATAAGTAAATTCACAAGAAATATCGTAAGCTGCCAGAATCTTCCTGTCACTATTTATTTAACTTTTTTAAACGAGATTACTACCAAATTACCATCGTTTTGTTTTGGTAGCGATTACTGATTTAGACTGACACCAGTGTTTTACCATGGTAAAATTTCGCAAGCGCACTGAATACTGTTTTTGGCTGTGCAGGATAACGCTACTGAGGACAGCACTCATGTCAAACATACCCATGACTGTTCCTGGGGTGGTGCAGTTGCTAATTTGGCAAGGAAGTTTCAGCTCCCCTCACAGGGTCAGGGTCCCCCTGTCAGAGCCAGACCTTTGAAAAGGGCTGTGTGTTCTCCAGGAGCGAAAAAGGGTCAGACAAAAAGAGGCCACTTAATGCTCAGATTACCATAAAGCTTAGGTCACATTGCCCCTCTCAGCTTGTTCTTATAAAGCCTTACCAGCATTACTGTGGCTTGGGATTTGCACCATGTGGCTTCATGTTTGGTCATTTGTCGCTGTTGGTTATTGAAGTGGAATCATTGTTGCTGAGTCTGGTGCATGATTCCCCTATGAAACTTAGTTCCTCTACTGTGGCATTTTGAGGAAGAACTTAGTAACCACAGATAAAACCATGGATTGCTTGATATTTCTATAGTAAGGTCAATGTTAGGGTTAACTGGTTTTTGTGTAAAAACCATAAATAACGATTTGTTACAAAAAAAATAGAATGGAATTATAACTAATATTAATTGTAAATGATTCAAATAAAATGTTTGATTCAACGAGTTTTGTTGAAGTAAAATCATGGGCATTTTTTCCCTCCAAACAAATTACTGTGATGGCTACATTACATGCAGGTGTTTATCTCTTTGCCTATATCCTGCTAACAACTGTCATTTTCTGTTTTGTGTGTTTCTTTTATTTTCTGGTATACACATTTTACATCTGAATGCAAATGTTGCTATTTTCTACACTTGGTGATTTGGCACATGTATCTGTTTAGCATCTGTATTCTAATCTAAAATAGAGGCTCCCATCTGAGCTCCTCACAGGACTGGTATCAGACTAGTAATGCTAGGTAAGGTTTTATAGCTGAGTGATTATGTCCCATTATTGCCCACAGTCCTTTCACATTGAAACATTTTTTTTAGTATTTTGCTATGTGCTGTGCAGATCTTGGTGTCTTGTCAAACTATGACATTAATGCCTTGAATCAACCTGGGTCATCATCATTTTATTTGTTTGGTCAGAAGACTAACCAACAGCTGTCATTCCTAAAGTTAGATTTATGCTGAGCTCTGAAGATTGTGACCGGATCTGTGTCCCACTGACCCTCATAGGACTTGTTCATCATAATAGATGATATTGATGTAGATCTATTTCTTTCATATCTTAATTATGCTAGCCTCTAGAATTGAAATTAAGTCTCTTGAGACTTTATCTATGTTATGAATAGCTGTCATAATGTGTTTTGCATGCTTTTTTCTATGCTGTTTTCTCCATTCACACAGGTCTGATGTGAGGAGGTTGAGTTTTTTAAATCTTCAGGATGTGTTTTTGGCATGCCATGAGCTTTACATTCTTTTGTTGATTGGTTGAAAACCGCAGGCCAAAGGGCAGCTCAGATGAGTCTTTCAAGGGCAAGTTTGCCACTTTGAGACACACTGAATCCGTTATCTGAATTCATTAACCTTTTGAAATGCATTTTTTATCTGTAGAATGCCACATTTCACCTGCTTGGTTGACTGCAAAATGGCAGCCTTCAGTTACAGTAAAGGTGTTTAGTCCTTCCTGTTCATCTAGCCTATTAGGATGTCTTAATATCATACATTTTAATAACACATAGGGCTGAGAAATGTAGTCTATAACTCTGTACACTGCTCTAGAGTCTAGACCAATTGTGAGGTGCTGAAAGTAACAGTTAGGCTATTTGATAGTTTATCTGATATTCATGTTTCATGGTATTCAGAATATTTGTGGCTTTTTCTGCCCAGAGCCGCCCACTTAGACAGGAAGAGACCCTCTGACCGACATGTAAATCGAGCCACAGTTTGTGGTGTTTAGGGTTGAGTAAATCTGAAATGGATAGATACCACAATAATAGACTGGCACAGTCTTATCTATCTTATCTAGAGTAAGCCGTGATGACAGTCTCCTTGAACTGTTGAAATGTGTTTTGACTTCACGATCAGTGTTTTTGTTTCCCCAATAGTAATATTGATTATTTCACAGGCAGAAAACAAAGCTATATAGTTTGCTTGCTATAAAGTGCCTTAATGGTTTTTTTTGTTTTTGAAAGAAGTATATTATGCTCACCAAGGCTGCATTTATTTGATCAAAAAGTAATATGTTAATATATTTAAAAATGTAATTCATTCCTGTGATGTCAAAGAAAAGCTACATTTTCAGCATTATTACTCCAGTTTTCAGTCAAATGATCATTCAGAAATCATTAAAAAATGCTGATTTGGTGGTCAAGAAATATTTCTTATTATTATCAATGTTGAAAAAACTGCTTAATAGTTTTCTTTAAACCATGATACATTTTTTTCAGGATTTGCTCTATGAAAGCTCAAAAGAACAGCATTTATTTGAAATTATATAATTGTTTTTGTAATAATTTACAAATCTTTACCTTCACCTTTGATCAATAATAATGCATTCTTCTTGATGAATATTCATTTCTTTAAAAAAAAACTGAACTGCATAGCAGTATCCAGTCTTATTGGGAGCTTATGATTTTCACAAGTTTTGTGTGCAGTATGCAACAGATGGTCAGTAAATGTATTGTGGGAAGTTCATGGGCACGTTCTTTTTCGTTCTTCGTTTAGGGGTAAAACGAAGTTCGAAATACATGACCAGCGATATGTTGTTAGCGAACTTCTGACCACATTGCTGAGAGCGACGGTTAGATGAATTTGTAACGTTAAATATGTGCTGTGCGCATTCCTCTCGGTTACAAAATAAACACACAACAAAACTAAGAAAACAGCAAGCATTTTTTTTTATAAAGTATAAGAAAAGCATCTGATTCTGATATAGCATTGTGGATATGTTTGCACAAGCTCTGCAATTCTGCACTAAAGTCAGTAAAGTTTACATTGCTATATCAGATGCTTTTCTTATGCTTTAAGAAAACAGCAAGCATTTTTTTAAATAGTTTTGTTGTGTATTTATTTTGTTACAGAGAGGAATGCGCGCAGCACATATTTACATATTCATCTAACCGTCGCTCTCAGTAGTGTGGGTGGCGTCAGATGTTCGATAACAGTACATCGCTGGTCATGTATTTCGAACTTCGTTTTACCCCTAAATGAAGAACGAAAAAGAACTTCACCGTGAGTATGTTGGGGGCTTTAAGCCTTAAAGGGATAGTTCGCGCTTTGAGATATTTTGAAGAAAGTTCAAACAACATTTGATCCCATTGACTTTCATTGAATAGACAAAAAAAAAAAAAAACAGACATAAGGGTGAGTAAATAATGACAATTCAAATTTTTGGGTGACCTATCCCTTCAAGGTTTCATAGGTCCAGTGTAATAGCTGTTTACACGTCACCGTTTTCAACTAAAACCGGGAAACTTTTTATGCGTTTTGGCCATTCATTTACACGACAATGCGTTTTGGGGGACTGAAAACGCAAACTTTTGAAAACGGGTTTCAAAGTACAACGTTTTGAAAACTGTAACATAATTATCCCAGTGTAAACTACAAAAACACAAATTTTTGAAAACGGTGACGTCATGTGCTATGTATTACGTTTTCAGATAGGCGTGTAGTGTTTCTTTACAAAGTGACCTCGTCAACTACTGGCCTGGCGGCAGAATTAGGGCTGCCCCCAAATAGTCGACTAAATATTAGTCGATATGAGGAGGGCTTGGTCGAATACATTTTCATTAGTCGGTTAGTCGCAAAAAAAAAATCACGTGAAAAAATTACGCAATCAGGGGCTGCGCAGTCAGTGTATGACATGACATCAAAGACGGAAACTGACGGAAAATATCGCGACCAGCATTTATATAGGCCTACAAGCTGCTGTCTTAGACTCACGTTTTAAGAGCTTGTCATTCTTTGACCAACACGAACGAGAAGATGCGTACTCCACAGTGTCGGATCTGACAGAAAGCTGCGCCAGAAAGTGATCATGACAGCATTAGCCCTGCAGAGGAGGGTGAGCCCGAACCGAAAAAGGAAAAGCAGGCCGAGATATCCATGCTGATGGCCATTGATGAGGAGGAGCATGCAGAAGAGAAGGATGAACTAAAAATGTACTTGGCAGATAAAACAAAGGTTGATTCGGGACCATTGGCATGGTGGCAAAAAAATTTAACATCGATATCCAAAGCTCGCTAAAGCAGCTAAACGCCTCCACTGTATCCCTTCCACATCCACTCCATCAGAGCGCATCTTTTCAAAGGCCGGCTTCATTGTGAACAAGTCGAGAAGCTCCCTTCTTCCCAACAATGACAAGCTGGTGTTCCTCTCACATAATATGAAAAAAAAAAAAAATCGAATTGAAAGCTTAGGTAAGAATGCTTAATTTCCTTTTTGTAGTGTTTCTGTTTGCTATCCGTAAGGCTATATAAAAAACGGGTATTTTTATAACGGGTAGGCTAGCTATACAAATAAATAAATATAAAAATATTATTTTTATTTATTCGTTTTTATATAATGCAGAAGTTGTTTTTTATTCTGTAAGAAAAATTAGTCTGATGTTTGCAATTTGTTGTCTCATCCGTCGTCTTAATGGCAGTTTGCGGCTTTGCTCTGATATTTTTCATTTGTATTAGTGTTCTTTAAATTAGCCTATTTGGTCCACATTTTGTCTTAAATATAGCCTAGTTGTTCTAAACAATTTAATCAAATACTTAGGCTGTTGATTTGTTTGCCGCCTTCTTTTTTATTCTAAGTTTTTTTGCGATGTGCCGTGCATTTATTAAATTGTTCGTTTTTGTTAATTTTCCTTTTGAACAATATACAAATTATATTAATTTAATTTTCCACTGTATTTTTATACCAAACAGCGTTTTTGCTACAGTATTATTTTGGGGTTTTTTTTTGCCTTGTTTTGTACTAGGCCTAAGTTACTAATAAGTTTATTTAATTTATTTTAAAGAACGAATTTTAGTTTATTTTATTCAAAACTGTTTTTTTTTTTACATGTAACTGTTACAGTTTGTATTTTTGATAATATTATTAAAATGCACAGGCAGTCTGATTGCTGTTTTTATGTTATAATTAGCCTATAACGTGTCGCAAGCGCTGTATACTTTAAACGCTTTACTATTCTGTTTTAAGCGCTTAATTTTCATTTTGAACGCGCTAATATCACGCTTTAGCATTTTCTGTCATATGGAAGTGTTAAACTTCAACTTGGACTATACCTTTCCTTGTATATACGCAAGTTTTTATTAATATCATAAATGAACGATTATTCGACTAATCGCTAAAATGCAGGAGTGTTAGTCGACTAGGAATATCTTTAGTCGGGGGCAGCCCTAGGCAGAATACAGCGTTTTTAATAGTTTTCGCTGATCCGTGTGAACGGGGATTGCTTTGACAATGGTGTCGGCTGTATGCAAAAATCGCAAAGGAATAACGTTTCCATTTTTAGTACATTGTTGTCATGTAAACGTAAACGTACCCTGAAGCTCCCGGAAGACTGAAAGAATGAAGAATGAAAAGCCATGGCTGTGTACAGGGTTTGTACTAATCTCACTAAAATTCGTTTGGCAACTTTTTTTTCCCCCTTGATGCATCACTAATAACCTCAGAACTGATCACTCTCAATTTAGTCCCCCGTTACATGAGTTTCCTCTTATGCTAAGTCCATTAGTGTGCTGAACTGGTGGATGTTTTGCATTTTATTGAGACAAATGTGCAGTCACTGAAAGACCTACGTGATTTGAGTATAATGACAGGGGTCTTTATGGAAGGCATTTGTGTGATCTATTAGGGCAATAAATTGTCAGCAGAGCTTGTGAAAGTGCTTTCATTAGTGACTTTGGAGGAAGATGAAAGTCGTCGGACTGCTATGACTGTGAGTCGATCCACCAAAAAGCTATTTTTAGCGTCTGTTTGCCCGCCAGGAACTGAACGTATGAAAAATCACCTTTCGCTGTTTTTTATTGGCATTCAGGCTGGTAGGAAGTTTTCTTCTGCTGAATTAAAAAGGTGCCTACAGATGGTCTGGAATTCATAAAACGGGATTTTACGCTGCACTTTCACCACTGTATAGTTGCCTGTGGAAATAAAATCAGACTCTAAAGGTTCTTTCACCCCGTCTTTTGTCTGTTATTTGTTGAGTGCGGCTGACTAAAGGAGTTTTTCGTGTTATCCAGGGGTTTACTGGCATGTCAGGTCTGGTCTTCTCAAATGGCTCGGAAGTTATGGGTTTCTAATGCCTGATTGTGTCTGATGGAGAGGCTGCAGATCTCTTCCTCTGTAGGCTGCTGTTGCTAGCCAGCAGGTTCCCGAGGGCTCTCAGCTCTCTTGTTTGTCTTGCAGCGCTGACATTTTTTGGCTCTCCGCCCAGAGAGCGTCTAGCTATTCCACCGCCCGCCCCCACCATCTCATCTCCACCGTCTCTTCAACACGCTCATTTCCCCTCCTTCCTCCACCTACCGCTTTTTCCTACAGTACTTCATACTGACTTTGACTTGGACCGTATATCATAAATACAGAAGAGACCAGCAATGTATAGGCAGTTATGTTGTGGGATGTGTATTTATCTCATTAATTCTCCCCATGATCTCACACACGGGTAAAGCTATAAGGTCATTATGGACTGAGACATTTAAACTGATAATTGTTTTCATGTTTTGGCTATATATATATATAGACCAACCAATAACTAGATGGTATCAAATTCTATATAATTACATTTAAATATATAATTAAAAATAAATCTCTAAAACTGATGTTTTTAAATCCTAGTACTACAAGTGAATTTATGCATCACACAGATATAATGTGCAGTATGAAAAATTTATTTAGATAAGTGGTATTAAATGATTAGTCTTTTTATAAAGCAATTAAACAATCTATTAATACATTTTTGTTAGGCTATTTGAATTCGCACGGTGACAAGATAAGATATTTGTCAGTGACGCTTAGGTTCTGGTGCACTTATTTTGATCTTTAACATTAGATCTTTACAACTTTCCCTTTATTTATACAAAACAAATGCTTGAATCCTCTGCAATTGTCTTGTCAGTCATCTTTCCCTATTCTCATCACAAGTGAAAGCTGACTCCGATGGAAGACACTTTCAGTTTAACTGTAGTGTCCATTGTCCAACTGATCTAAATTATTTTTATTTCCATAAAAAAAGCAAAATGGTATCGATGTACGGCCAAACACGGTTTAACACCGCTAACACTAACTACCACAGCAAAATGACTCTGATCATGTGACACTGAAGACTGGAGTAATGATGCTGAAAATTCACCTCTGCCGTCACAGGAATAAATGCCATTTTAAAATATATTAAAATACAAGTCTGTTACCTATATTAAATTGCAATATGTCGCTCTTTTACTGTATTTTGATCAAATAAATGCTGCCTAGTTAAACATAAGAGAGTTCTTTTAAAAATATGTTAGAATATTATGACGTTTGAACAGTAGTGTATCAGTTGATATATGACGACCACCGCCGGTATGGTGCCAATATACCGTGCATCTCTCGTTTCAAATATTTATTTAGTAATTATTAGAGAAGAAGAGCCATTCATAGGCTTCCATCATTCTTGTTTTGGTGCATCTGGTTCATGTCACATTTGTTTATCTCTGATTCATCCACTCAGGCAGAGTTTACTGAAAACAGGTGGTATAACTAAGAAAGTTCTAAGTCAATGTTTTTATTCCTAAAAGAAATGTTCCTCTAAATCCCAAGCACATCCTTTTTCCTGTGAATTTCTTGTTAACATTCTTTTCTGACTATTGTTAACATAAGTGCAAACATTCAGACCAGCTCTAATACCTTTGAGCTTTGTTCACAGATGGATTTTTTTTCTATCATTTTTTTTACTTGATGCAGCTGCTTTTATTTATTTTTGCAAATCTAATTTAAATCAGTGATTTCTGCTTTATTTTGTCTTCAGGCAGGCTGGTCTGTATTATCTAATGAATGTACTGTTTGGCGTTGTACTGATCATGTCTTTTGTTTAAGTGTTTTATCTTTGGTGGCTCAGACTAATTATTGGTGGTAAACCAGACTTTGTTTTAGTCTGAAAAGCCACACTAAGTTTATTACATTTGTTGGTTCACTTTCTTCATTAACAGACATGGAATATTTTGTTTGTTCTTTTCTTTTTCTTTTTCTTTTTTAAATCAGCTACTGTATGAAGTTAAAAAAAAATGCATACAAGAGGTTCTTTTAGATTTTAGATCATATTCCAATTAGTACTGCCCTTGGTTTTGTGGGTAGTAATATTATAGTAATAAATTAGAAAAATATCATATTTGCTAAAATTTGTATCTTAAAACGATCTATTAGAAACTAATATATTAGTTGTTTCTAATATGTTTTGGAGTTACTTTGTCAATTGTCTCTATTTGTTTTAAAAATTAGGACTAAAATAACTCACAACTGATCCTTTTCACAGCCTTGGGACAAAACACGTCACACAAAAGGAGAACCATTTGATGGAAGAAAAGAAAAAGAAAAAGCAAGAGGAAAAGAAAAAGAAGGAAGCTGCTCAGAAAAAGGTGAGGGCTTCTTTCCTATGACCTACAAGCTTTCACCTAGAATCTTTTGCTTGCGTCCTCCTTATGAAAGCTGCTTAGCGGACACCTTAATGGGTCTGTCATAAGCTTCTGAGACATCTTTACCAACGTAAAGCACAGGTACCAAACTGAAGACCTAGAGCTCACAACAACCTGTTTAATGTCTGCCTGTGAAACTCTATTCAAACACAGATAGATATTATGGTGCTCACTTCTTAGACATCATGGAGTTACAAAGTATGTGTACATTTACTAATGTATCATTCACATCCTGCTGCTCTTTGGATTGATTTAGCACATCCAGCTTGATCTCTATTTAGCATAATACTGAAGCAGATATCCATTATAATCCATCTGACATGTTCCAAGATTTATGGTCCACTATTCATTTGTACCGTTTTTGTTTTTTTGTTACAGAAGCGACACGTTTTTTGTTATAACGCTTTTGTACACTAGACCTGTGAAAGTGTTCATCTCTCAGTCTACTTTTGTTCTTTCTTTACAGGCTGCTGAACAGAAAACCAAAGGTCAGTTATGATTCTCTTTGCAGTGCTGCACTAAAGCATTAAGTTAAAAGTGTTTCTTTTTTAAGGATCTTCTCCATTCAGATATGTCCATACCACATGCATCTTGTCAAACACTTCTAGAGTGGCAAAACCTACGTTGCATGTGCTGCAGAAATGTTTTAATGCTATTGTTAGAAGAATTAACACAAACATAATACCATTCGCTATAACGGTAGTTTCATGTGGGACTGCAGTACATTTGATCAGAATCTGCACAGTTATTTATGTGGGGGAATTGAATGACTGGCACAAGACGGCACAACAGTTGGTAGAGACAAATCAACCACGACTGGTGACTGATGAGAAAATCAGACGTTTGCACTTTAAACAACATGCACTTTAGTAAATCAGGATTGTTTTCCTTAATGTAATATCTAATGAATTATTCACAAAAAAGGGGCTGAGCATAAAATATTTTACATACATTGTTCACAGTTTTTTATTTATCATGGAAATCTGGCAAGATTGTAAACAGGCGGCATCATACGCATGTATGCATTCCTCAAATAATGTATTCTGTTTGATTGAATTCTGTGATGGAAATGACATTTAAAGTTTTTTAAATGAAAATCACAATTTAAAATGGCTGACTTTATCTTGCTAAGACTAATTTCATAGCTAACATTAGATTAGTTCTAAATACACATCATTGAATTATATTTTTATACTGTTTTATGTTTTAAAACTTCATATTATTAATTTTAGTATTTATGTACATGACAACTGAAGGACTGTTGTAGTTTGTGTAAAGATTTAAATAGTTTTTACATAGTAAATATTAAAATCTTTACTGTTTATTTTGTTTATTCCTTTTAGATCAAATCTTGTTTTATATCTGTGTCTGGGACCAGTATAAAGCAATAGAATATGTGCATAAAGGGTGGTTGCAAAGTAGCCAAATAAATGGAGATATGGAGAAAAGCCTAACAATTTTTAGGGGTGTAACGATACATCGATATGGATCGATGCATCGATCAAACGTCTTACGGTACGATGCATCGATGCCACACACAAAATATCGATTATGAGGTACCTTTATTTTAACAGTCTCTCCACGTCCTCACGTAACATCCGTCATTTCCGCATTTCCGCCAAAGCGCAATGAAATTAAAAATGTAATTTTCTTTTTCTCACCATAACGTTACTGGCTGTCACTTGTTGTCGGATTGGATTGCGAATGAGATGGAGCAACAAAGCAGCTGTAGCAGCGAAAAAACAGACGTAGAAAATGTTGTGACTGCTGTCGGACGCAAATTGTGGGTTTGGAAACATTTTGTACTATTTTCCAAAACAGATGGTCAGGTAAATAAAACCCATGTTATGTGTACACATTGCCAGTGCCAGCTAAAATACTCGGGAAATAATACAAACTTGTCAGCATCTAAAAAAGAAACATGGAATTGAGGAGAGTAATTTGGCTGACGAAAAACAGCCTCTGTCACCTCCGAAGAAGAACTTTTTCGCTAAGACAACTCGAAAAGAGCAACTAGCATTACGTTGAATTTTTTTGTTTTTTTTACAACTAGAGTACCTCAGTTATTTGCACTATTGCACATGTTTGCACAAAAGACTGGAAGACTGGAAAAGACTTTGACTGTTGCCATAAGCTTGATTGGTTTTATCAATCCCCCATCCATTATGTACTTTTCTTTCTTTCTTTCTTTCTTTTTTCAATTTTTGTTGTGTTGTTGTAAATTTCCCAAAATTGGTTAAGAGGGTGCAATTTTCAAAGTGTTTAATTAAACATTTATGTTATATATCTTTTGGTTGTATTTGTGACACAAAATATCTAAATATCGATTAATCGATCGATATAGCTATGAATCGAATCGTATCGAAGAATTTTTTGAAGTATCGGCAAAAATCGTATCGCTGGCTAAGAGAATCGATATCGTATCGTGATGAACTGTCCGATTTACACCCCTAACAATTTTACAAAAAGAAACAAGCTGAAAAGTGCTTGTAGTTGAAGAAACACTCATTCATTCAAAGGTATCTGTTCTATGTTAGTCTGGTTGTTAGTAGGTCCTTGTTAAATCCGTGTTAAGCAGCAGATCTTAGATTGACAGGAGAAGTGAGAGGGACAGCACTGCAAGAGAGACAGTGGGAGCAGGAGAGGAGGTTATGTGCTGACATGTTTGGTTCTGGTCTCCTCACCCCATAGGCCAGGTCACGCCGCCTTCATTGAGAGGGGTGAGGTATGAGGCAGTAAATTTTAGACAGCAGAAAGGGCTTTTTTCAGGGTTGTCTTGGGGCAGATGGGAGAGGTGCTAATGTCATGTAAGGGATAGACAGTCATAAATCTCATTAGAGCATCTGCTAATGCTGGAACTCTTAAACATCAGACTTAACGCAGGAGGGAATGCTGGTTTAGTGCACACAGGAAACTTCCGTTGCAAAATATTCTGGAGATTTGAGTTGCAAAGCTATTTATTCTCCACTTTCATCCCCTGAATTTCTGTACCACTGCGTGAGTCAGTGTTTAGAATCTCTTGTTTCTTTAATCGGAGTACACTAGGGGCATTCATGGAGCTTTACTAATTAGATCTAATCTGATTTTGCTTTGTTTCACATCTTTCTTTATCCCCTCTTGGGCCATGGTACCTAAGGACACACATTATCTGCAGCCGATAATGTCTGTTCCTTCCGCCTGTTAGATCTTCTTGAATTTGGCTGATCTGTTTCTGGGTGGCTCGACATGTGTGTTAGATTTCTCTGTGTAAACTAAAGTAAGATGGATCAAAGTGCTTGTTTGTGGAAAAAAGTTTGTCGAAGGTGAGTGTAGTTTAACCCTCCTGGATCGATGTGGAAGTTTTTTTGCCAATGCCATCTAAATGCTTTACCCAAGTTACTGTCTGCTTGACTTATCTTTTATAGTCTGACAAATCTGATACAAACAAAGTAGATCAAGTGATGTTTTTGAACCACCCCAACATATTTTCCTTGTAATTTGGCTTTTGTTGATAAACTTATGTTTATGGTAAGGATGTGCACAATTTAGTGAGTTGTTTGAACAACTAGTTGGTCTTAAAGGGATATTTCACCCAAAAATGAAATTTGTCATCATTTAGCCACTTATGCTGTTCGAAAAACTGTATGACAAACCTATTTCTGTGGAACTTAAAAGAAGTATTTAAAAAAAAATGTTTTGGTGTTTTTTCTGTCCATACAATGGAAGTCAATGGTCACCCAAACTGTTTGGTTCCCAACATTCTTCACAATATTTTCCCTTATGTTCCACAGAAGAAAGAAAGTCATACAGGTTTGTAACGACATGAGAGTGAGTGAATGATGATGACAGAATTGTATTTTTTGGGGAGTGCACTGTCACTTTAAGGAAGCCATTTATAACTAGGCTGTTTAAGGGCATGTCCATCAAATGCCAGATGTGTTTTTAGCGATGTGTAGATGCTAATCGCAGTTGTTCAGTGTGGTAACTGACAGGTATTCATCCAACAAAATGACTAAATTATGTAACCTTTAGTGCACAACATTGTCAGTCATTATAAAAACAAAGACCTACGCATAAATAACAGCAAGCGATTTGAAGACTGACAATTATTGTCTTGAGTTCTGAAGTTTGATGGCTCGACATAACTTCTGTTATTCTTTCAGCATGCTAAAATGCTCTCTGAGAAGTTTTCTCCGTGTCCCCTTTAAAGCCCTGCCACTATAAATATTAAAGCTAAATAAAAAGAAAAAAAAGAGTTGACCCCACTTATCGCCTACTATTTGACCACTCTGACCACAAAAATTCACTTAAAATGATTTGAGCTTGCCGTGCCATGCCCTAGTAACAAGTATTTTGAATATGTTCCTATGCCAACAATATGTCCTTTGAATTCTGAAAGGACATAATAAATTCAGCATAATGCCACCTAAAGATTATTTGCATCATTAGAGAAAGGTGAAGGTGAGCTCTGAGGCATGAATCTCTAAAGAGACTCGTGGAGGAAGCAGCGCTGTGCTCTGCTACTGAGTGAGCAGTGATGACTTCAAGACCATCTTTCTCTTTTCAAGAGAGGCCCGGGAGGGGCCTATACACACATGCACACAACCTGGAGAGATTCACAGGGAAGTGCTTTTCCCAAACCGACAGAGTATTTATGTGGAATGAGGAAAGAGAGAGAGAGAAAAAAAGTTGGAAAACGCTGTAGGTGTCTGTGTCAATGGAGGAAGGGAGCAGTGGAACTATGTGAAAGAAAGTGTGAGAACCCGCTTAAGTTTCCTGTCAGCTCAAGTCTTTTGGTTTTGGCCGCAGAGAAGCTCAAAGGCCTCTGAAGATTTTTAGACAACTGAAAAAACAACCATCCCCCTTTTTCCCCCTCCAAATCTCTTTCTTTCACTTTCTAACTCATTCTCTTAAACTTAACTTCCATATGCGCACACATACCTCAAGGATGAATCAGATTTGCTGCTGATTGTTAATGTGCTAAACCAGATTCCTGTTGTTTCTGCTCTTGTTTCAGTTCAGGCACCTTTTTTCCCCCTTCAGCCACAGGAACTTTCTGTTTTGCTCACTTATCATATACTTTTGGTCCAGTTGCCCTTAAGATAGTTTAAACCCAAGAAAGAACGTCTATGACCCATTTAACTTTGTATTGCATATTGCATGTAAAAATAATGACCAGTTATTGCAATCAATAGTTCCAGTTAGAACTGTGCCAAATTCAGCCAAAACAATCATATACTTTTCCCCATTGTATTGCATGGATTATTTTGATCCTGGTGTCAATATTTTTGTTTATTTATCTGTGCATAAACTCTGAGATTTCCATTTTGAATGTGGTCTGGCCCGCTTCATAGGTCAGTTTCAGTTTAAATTCAAAATTAAGATGCATTGCAATTAGAGTTGGGCGGTATGATGATAATCATTACCACGGTATAAAATGTCTCTCGTAAGAGGTTATGCTATATTGTGTATATCGTGGTATGTAAATATATAGCACTATTGACACTTC